TATATATATATATATATATATATAAAATACGGTTTAAACAATTTATTTTTGGTCGGATAGTTTTCTTTTGGCTATAATTTGTATAGTTTTCTTTCGGATATAATTTATGTTTCAATAACCTATCCCTTCAAAAATAAGTTTTTCAACATATGCATTGCTAGGTCTTAATAAAAATTTTGTTCGAAAACTTGTCATAGTATAAACTACACGCATTACATTAATTAATAGTTTCCTTTAGAGTTTAGGATTTACGGTTTAGGATTTTGAGTTATAGGTTTTAGTTTGAGGGTTAAGGGTTTAAAATGGTTTTGGGTTTTAGGTTTATGATTTTGAGATTTCATCAATATGTTGATTCCTTTTGGAAATTGAATCTCCAAATTCTTTCAAGGAATCCAACTCAATAACCAAACATCTAGAAATCAAAATATTTAAAGAGGGAGGAGGTGTTTTTATCTATATGTTGGATTTTGTAGATTGTATTTTTAACTATACATCAAGTTATAAAATCATCGAGACATAAGATATTCTTCATGTAGCCACAAAGATATTCTTCATGTAGCCACAAAGAAAGAAACATAGTCACATTTATATCAAATTGTCTTATGGGCTACAAAATTCTAAATTTAGTTTTGTAATCCTAAGCTGATATTAATAACATTTACTGAACTCACCAAACAATGATATACATTGATAAGATGACAACTAGAGTAAGGTGATGTTTGTTTTTCTGAAGCCAAAATATTTGCAGTCTGCGGATTATATCTGTAAGCTCTGCAGCAGAAGAGGTGGACCAAATGTCTGCTATAAGAAGTCTGTTTATTTTTTAACGTCTGCAGGTACTGAAATAAACTGATTTTTCAAACTTAATTTCATGTCATAAACATAAAAAAATGCATTTTCAGCAAAAAAAGATAGGCGGCGGAGAAAAGGAAAAAAGATAAGCGACGTTTTTTTTTCGGTTTAGGTTAAAATGAGGCGTGAAGACATTTGAAGACAGTGGCCCATATCTGCACCAGGAAGACCTCGCGCAGACATTTTTTGATATGCGCACTTCCAAAAAACAAAATTTTGCGATGGCATATGTCTGCGCGGCGCAGACAAGAGTGGTTGCGCAGATCTGCACAAAAAAAACAAACAAACATCCTCTAAATAAAAGAGATACAATAATTATCATATTATCAAGAGTTATTTCTAATAATCTTTCTAGTTTACATGTGTACATAGCATGATTAACTCTATTATGAGAACCACATAAATTCTTATATATATTCTTTATTTCTCTTCGGGTCTAATGATTGTGTTTCTTAATCTCCAAACCCTAACATATAGTACGCAAACCAAAAAAATAATTTACTTATATCTACCATAAATTTATTTCAACATATATATGTAGTACATTAGTAGTATAATGCTACATTAGGAATATTTTTTGTTGGGATACTTTAATAATACTGATTGAGTATACATACTCTTTAGGGAAGAAAACCCAAACAACGATGTACCCAAATTATGCTATTGCCTATAGTGGTCAACGTCAAGTAAACAAACATTCTAGTCTCCCTTATTTGTCTTTTTTAAGAAATCTCAAAACATTTGAATTATACGTTAATTCAAGTTTAAGGAATGATCAAAATACAAACTTTTAGCAGCCTTTTGCTTTTAGGCTGCAATTCCTACCTCAACGTTTTTCTACTACTCATAACATCCACTACACCTACCTACCAATACCAAAAACCTTTTCTAAAACTCAACCACATTACCAATACCAGCCATTGAAAATGCTCCCCAAGCTTCTGTTTGTTCATGGTGCCTTTTTGGATTCACTTGTTCCTCACCATCTACAAGAAGAGAACCTTTCTTAACGTAACTTGTTGCAGGTTGAGTCAAACCTTCGGTCAATGAAAAACCAAAGAGTCTACAACTATCTTTACACTTTGAAACCGATTCTTGTTGCCCAATTTCTGATGGAGCATGTTGGTTATGGCTATTATGGTGCCCGAAATATGGCCCGGGGAAATTGGGTGCCTTTAAATTATGGGAAATGTGTATAGGATTTGAGAAAGGATATTGAGGGATTGCATTTTTGTAAGGTGGAACGGAAGAGTGCCCGAATTGTGGTTTCAAAAATATTTCTTGACCTTGCAAGACCTCGTTGAATTGGAATGGGTTACTATAGCCTATGCCAATGAGGTTGCTAAGATTATTCCTTAATGAGGATATATGATTATAACCGAAAATTTCTTGACCTTGCAAGACCTTTTGAAATCGCATAGATTTCTCAAAGTCCGATGCTCCTCCTCCTGATGCAACATCTGTAAGAAATGAGAAATAAGTTAACATTTTTCGCATTTTTTGCAAACGGGTTATTCTTCTTGCAATCCCTACACTGTCTAAAGAGATGTTTGATAGTTACCGAATGAGTCAGATCTGATTGGGTCAAGGCCTGAAGTCAGGCGCAAACGTGAATCTGGCCGAGTCACAGGCATTTGACCGAGTCACAGGTTTATATATGTGATATCAAACAATCTGAATCTGACCGAGTCAAAACCGGCTTTTTACAAACCAGTAAGAGACATATCAAACAGTTCCTAAGAAACATCACCTGAGATGTAGATCAAGTATGCAACCATGCATAACAAGCTACTATCTATAAAAAGCTCAATTCACAACTTTTGACCATTTCTACAAGTATACCCCACAACCAACTCCTTAGGGACTTGAGGGCCCACTTATGACTCGAACACTTGACCATTATGTAAATGTATCACCCCAAAACTAACTATGCTACACCCTATTTTTTTCATTTTCTTAGATAAAAGAATAAAGAAATGATTCTCATGAAAAATATATCATACCTTTGGGCACGTGAAAAATGGGCGGAAAACCAGTTTTCATCCTTTTCGCAATGGGTGACAAATTGCTATCGGCTCTGGAAACCAAGCTACACCGCTCAATCTCCCATGGAGAAACTCTGTTTTGCCTTGTTGTAGCTTCCACACCATCCCACCTCACCTGAAAATATATCAAGACATAAATAAATAAATAAAACCCATTGGAAAAGCAAGAAAATGAAGATGATCATCAAAATTGAAGGCCCACCATCAGACATTTCCATTTCGATCCGGGCCACTTGACAGGGTCCACATCGCTAATCCCAGTTATCATCCCTGTACGTTTTCTCTCCCCTGCATCTTCTGTTTCAACACGAAGATTAAACCTCATTCCAGGTGAGAATTTGTTGGGAAGAAGACTCTTCATAAATTGGTGATATGGTAGAATGAATTCTGATACGCCACCCCTGGAAGAAGCGGTTGGGTTGTAGGAGACATTGAAGACAGTACTCTGTGAAATGGAGTTGACGACGGTGGTGAAATCGTTTAACTGGGGGCGGTAGGTCGCCGGGAAACAAGGTGCGGTTTTTACTTGTGCTGATCGCCGGATACCCAGCCTGAGTACCCCATCATCACCCCTGAGAAAAAGAACAGCATCTCCACATACAAGCTTCTTCTTGTTCACGAAACCACTCCAACCGGTGGTTAGCAGATGCCGCCGTGGTTGGCCTGTAAAAGACACCGGAAAATAATAAGTTATAACTATCATGAAACCAAGTTAGAAAAGATTCTGAATATACCTCGATAGATATGGCGGAACTTCCATTCCGTTCCATGGAGATCTTTAGCTACAAGTTCTTGTGAAGGTCTTTGCTGTTTATAATCCTGTAGGATTAATGACTTATAAGGTGTGAACATGATAATGATTAATGTCGCCATTTTAGGAAAAGGACTGTAGAAGGAATACCAGAGGAGGGAAGCAATCTTCTGCAGCCCGACGTGGGACAGAGAATCCGCCATGGGTGCTGGTATCGGAAGCAGTGAGGGTTTTGCAGAACATGTGGGGTGTTGATGGTTTTTCATCGAGACCTCCGTTGTCGTCCTCTTCAACCTCTGTTTCACCCCATTTCTTCTCCAGCTGTGAGATTGAAGTCATTCAGCCCTAGTCAAGATTCAAGAACCAGAAGATATCGTTTTATGGAAGTAAATCGAAAGGAAACCTTACCTGAACATCGGGAATCAGTGAAACTTGAGCATACACATCGTCGGATCTTAATTCGGCCTGATTCAAAAAAGTTAACAGATGAATGAGTATAACCTGTGAATATGTGACCCTAATCGGTTTATTTTTTCAGGAAAAGTAAATAAGAAACCCTAATCGTATAACTTACGTGAAGCTTAACGTCGGTGACACGGCAAAAAACGTGGGGAGGGAGATGGACACCGGAGATGGCCGGAGAATCATAGATGCGTAGTTGTTCTAGGTGACCTTGTGGGAAGTAAACGACGGCGTTCCCTTTCTTCGGCAACGAAATTAGAGGTCCAGCACACGCGTGCCACAACTCCAAACTACAGAGCACCGGAGAAGACGACAACAGAGACAACTCCGAGGTCGGAGATGCATACGAATCCGACGAAGATGGAGAATCAAGAACCAAAGACCCCGCAACCTCGTCAGTATCGTCGTTAATGGTGTTCAGATCAATTAAGCCACACATCATCACAGAATCCAAACCCAAATCAACACAAAATCAAACCTCCTAATTTGACCAATCACAAACACTATTTCATCAACATTATGAACACAAAAAGAAGCTATAAGTTATAACCCCCACCCACTGGTAAAAACTTCTCTCTCTCTCTCAGTCTGAAAAAAGTAGAGCTTTTTCAGAGAAATGGTGAGTGTAGAGGAGTACGACTGAAAGAGTAGCTTTTTTCATCAAAAATCAGCTGTTGAAACTTCCAAAAGAAGGTGGTGGTGGTGTATGTATAATTTAATTGTATATGATGCATACATAAATGTTTAGGATGGATGAAAACAAAGGAGCTGTAAAGCAGTTGGTTAGTATAAAGAGAGAGAGTGGGGAAAATCTGCAGAGGGAACAGGTGGCGGTGCTGACAGGCCGGGGTAAAGAAAGCGAAAGATGAGAGGCCCCCTGTAATTGCGGGAGTGAGAAACAATGGTGGCGTGTCCCCTGTTTATTCAACAAAATCTATCTTCCTTCTTATCTTTCAAATAATATTATATAATAATAATAATAGTCAAACACTATTCATTTATTTATTTGAAATATACCAAAATATATAAACACTACTTGTTATTATATTTAGCTAGTGTTTCATTTCGTATATGTTAATCGAGCATGTGAATGTAATGGAACATTAAATGAATTAATAAAATTTAATTTGTTGGTTATAAATGAATGAAATGATGCTTTTTCTTAAGGAATATGATTTCTTTTTCCATATGCAAGAGAATCTCAAATGGTTAATCTTCTTAAAAAAAATAAATAAATAAATAAAATTGTCTTTTTCATATTATTTTTTCATTATTTTTTATTGACAACAAAATTTTATCAAAATATTTTTTTATTGGCTAATTTTGTTCAAAAATAATTTTCTTTAAAATTAATTAATTTATCATTTGTCTGTGTAAAATGTTTTATTAACATTGTGTTTGGCAGATACAATTGCTAATAAGTTAACTAGTTTTTTGAACTTTTTTAAGTTTTCTTGTTTGGCAAGTAAAAAAACTTATATTTTAATTTTTTAAATGCTACTTGTTTTTTAGGAGATTTTTAAAATTTTCTTAATATAATCTTAATTAATTATAAAAACATATTCTTCTAAATGTTATTTTAAATTTCTTTCAATTATCTTATCAGCTAGTTTTTACCAAATTATTTTTATCAGGTAGTTTTTCAGCTATCTGCTAGTTTTTTTATATAACAACTAGTTTTTCAACTATTATCTAGTGTTTTGGTTTTTTTTTTTTTGAACCAGCTAAAAATTTATTACCACTGCTTAGCAAGATGCAAGGACAGGGGAAAAAAAACAAAAGCAGTATAGGAAATTTACAAACACAAGAAGGGGTTACAGGCTTACAGCTCCAAGTAGTCCAATTACATTTTCCTAATTATCCTTATGTTTGACCCATCCAAACACCATACAAATGACATTATCAGGTGTCTTCGAAGCGGTAGTATGCATCTTTTTAAACACTTTATCGTTTCGTGCCTTCCAAACACACCACATAGTACCATAGATGATGGCTAACAACACTTTCCTTTTCTTTGGATAATTCTCCCAGATAGTTGCATAATTTATTGCATCTCCCACTCTAGAGAAGCTAAGATGTGAAATGGAGCACCATTTGAAAATCTAATACACCACTTCTTGAGTGAACGAACAAGAACCAAAGAGATGATTGGTGGATTCGCCAGCTTGCAAACACAAAGGGCAAGAAGGGGAAGCGATGTGTACACCTTTGGAACTAAGGGCTAAGGCAGTGGGTATACGGTCTATGCAAGCCCTCCATATGAAGGTAATCACCTTTATCAGAACCATTTTAATCCATATCAGTGGGTTGTCCAAGGATCTAGTAAATTTTGAATCAATAATCGACATAAAACACACCATCAGAAGAGTGATTAAATTTTAACTTGTCAGGATTTGGAGAAGAAATTTGAATTGAATCCATTAATGCATGTAGTCGGGATAATTCTGAAAGTTCAAGAGAGGAATTTGGTAGTTTTTTCCAGGTCCCGATAAAACCAGTTGAATTGAAACGTTCAGAGACGAAGACAAACTTACGCTTTTCAAGCTTGAACAAGAGAGGGAACATATTCGAGAGTGCATCAGCGTCAACCCAATGGTCATGCCAAAAGAGAGTATCAAAACATGTACCGATTTCAGAGTAGAAAAGCGATTCAAAATCCAACTCGAGATTGTCAATGTCATCTTTTATCTTCACAATACTCCCCTAAGGATCGGGAAGAGATTTTTTTTCCAACTTCGACCTAGGTTTATGGTCCAAATTGTGAATCCCCCTAATAATTCTTCACCAAAGTTCATCTTTTTCTATCTTCAATCTCCAAATCCACTTGGCTAAAAGAGCCAAATTAATTCCTCTAAGCGATCTGATACCTAAACCCCCATCTTTCTTTGATGCCAGTACAGTTGGCCATTCAACCCAACTGATCTTTTTCTTTTCATCGTTGCCCCCTCCCCCCCCCCCCCCTCCCAATAAAAATCTCCTTCTAAGTTTTTCAAAGAACTCAATAATGCAAATAGGAGCTTTAAACAGCGAAAAAAAGTATAAAGGAAAACTTCCAAGAACAGATTTTACTAAAGTTAGACGGTTGCCAATTGTTAGCATATTTAAAATAGATACAATATACATTCAAAATATTAACTGAAAAACTAGTTGTTAGCATATTTAAAATAGATACAATATACATTTTAAACGACATTAAATATGCTTACATGTAATAAATTACATGATCTATCTTTTATTTTGATAAATTTGTTTTTATAAAATAACTTTTTATTTATCAATTTTATTTTACTTAGATTTCTAATTATGCATAACAAATAACATGTACTTTTTTTTCATAGTCTATTGGTTATGGGACACAAATAACCTTCTAAAAAGAAGAATGACTAGAAGGTGGTATTCTCATGGTCCGTTTATGAAAATGGTTGACCATAGGCTGACTAAACCTTCAACAAATGCATTGGTGTAGACAACTTGCTCCCTACAAAGTACTATGTTTTGTTTGGAAGGATTATTTAAATTTGTCGACCATACAAGGATTGTTAGTTTGCATCGGAAATCATTGTTGGAATTCTCAGATGAATGGAATTTATCCTCAAAGTTTTACAAAGATGATGAGTCTCAAAGTTTTACAAAGATGATGAGTTTATTGACTTCATTGCTACTTAGGGTGATTATTTAAAGAAAAAAAAAGTTGTCTCCAGTTATCGTATATAACACTTCGTAGTGTATTTTTTTGTGAAAAATGAAAAGTTGTGTAAAAAGCCTATTGTAACCCAGCAAAAATGACGGACAACATAATTTATTTGGTGTTTGGATGGATAAAATATATGGGTAAATTTGTAAATTGCAATTAGGTTAGTTGGGGCTGCTTCCCTTTTTTTGTAATTTCCTTTTGTTTGTTTCTTTCTCACTCATTATAACTTACAAAGCTATTGTTTTTGAATAAAATTTGTCAGCTAAAAAAATAAAACAAAACCCAATTTATAATATTTATTTAAGGATTAAAAAGTTCCCTTTTCCTATTTTCCTATTTATATTAGTTGAACTCTAAGATGATATTCTATTATAGTTGAGTTTAATCCGTTAAAACTTAAATATATATATTTCACCCCACTCAACTCTTTTATTAACTTATGTATTATGGATGGTCTAAAACAAGCTAAATGTAATTCTTTTAAGGATTTTTTTTCTAGACATTATATTTGTACATTTACAAATTCTGTCATTACATCTTGATTTTTTTATAATATAATTAACTTTTTCATTAATTACAAAATAGCACTAATTTTGTAACTGAATAATGAAAATATGGGACTCCAAAAAAAAAAATATGAAATTCCTTACCATTACAAAGTAAGGGTGTTTGAAATTTTATTTGAAATGCTTAGAAATTTATTGTGGTTTGTTACGGGTAATAAATAGTTTTGAATGTTTGAATAGAACAAAATTGTAAATAATTAACGACTTAAAAAGGAATTTTTTTATAAAATATTCTTTCTTACTTATTGACTTATTTAAAGAGTTTTTAATAAGTACTTTTCTAATTACTCGTATAATTACCATTTGCCAAACTTTAAAAATAATTCGTAAAAAATACAAATAAAACAACTTGATCAATCACTTTTTAGTAAATCAAGCTTTTTTTTATTTTTCGTATATTTTTATTAAGTAACAACAAACTCATTACAAAATGAATTATCAAGATGTTTTTTTTAAATGTATACTTTTGTAATATTTAATAATTTATTTTGTTGGTGGAGAAGGAACTTGTAAACAAAATCTTTTATTTAAATTCAAAGTTTTTATATGGACTATTATATATATATATATATATATATATATATATATATATATATATATATATATATATTGAATAATTTCAAAATTTTGAGATAGAAGTTGAAAGATTATAAGTTAAAAGTTAGTCGGGAATAATTTTGAGATTATTCTATTTTAAAATTTTAGGGTAATTACACCATTCGTCCATTGTGCATGTGCCAAAAAGCACGTTTAGTCCTTATTTTCAAAAATTAACACGGACCATCTCTTATATCGTAAAAAGGTGCACACTTCATCCCTCGTTAGTTTAAATCTGCATGTTTCATCCCCTATGAGACTTGAAATGACCAAAATGCCCTTTGCAATTTCTTTTTCATTTATTTTTAATATTTTTGATTATTTTTAATTATTTTAATTAAAGTTGGGGGTCCACTTAACACTTTTGCATGCTCTTCTCTTTTTTTTAAGAACACTAAACCACCACCCTCATCGGACATCTGCAGCACCACCAAAAACCTGCACAACCACCGCCAGACATCTGCTCTCAGCTCACCCCACCCCCTTTGATCACCACCTGTCATCGCTCAATCATCACTACCGGAAAACCCAAAAAATATAAACAAACCAATTATTATGCAAACAATTCAAAAGTAGGGTAAAATCAAAATAGGAAGACAACGTTCTTCTCCGACCAGACGTCGTCGTCCCCCTCCGCCTCCGACCAGACTTCACTAACCTCATATGTCTCATTCTTCATCTCTAAACCAAACGTCTCCTGCACTAGAACCTATAATAGTTCGAAGAGACGGTCTCTAGCGTGCATATCGACGAAGTGTAGATCCACAAAGTGCAAAATCCATGGATTACAACGTCAGTGGCTTGCAGGGGAGGACAATGGTGGATTGGAGGCAACACATGGAGGATTTTATTTCAGTTTCGGAAAACCGATCTCCTTGATTTCCTCTTCCTCTTCCTCTTCCTCTTCGATTTTGTTTCTCTCGACTTCTTTCTCTTTCTGATCAGTGGGTTTAGAGGAGAAAATGGAGGATTTTTTTACCGGAAACCACCCTAAACACCACCAGCTCCGCTGAATATGAAACTCTCA